CGGAAAGTCTCGCTATTCTTTTTCTTTGTATTCATACATCATGAAAAGGTATGTGAACATTTATGCATTTGCAGTTTGCCTTTTTTTGCCCTGTATGCCCTGTATGATCTAAAGAGAAAATGTTTGATTAACAGGCTCTGCTGACGGACGGTTATCGGTTCATCTCAAGCTCTGAAGCCACGCCAGCGACTGCTGTATAAAGTCCAACGTATGACTCATTCGCAGCTCCTTCACGCTACTCTCTACAGACTCATTCTTTTCCTTAGTTTTATGATCATGTGACTCGTTAGGATTCTAGTAGGTTTGCTATTAGACGATTAGGTTCTTGAGGTCGATTGATGTTATTTTTGGTTATGGCTTCTCAATTTAATGACCCAAGTTTGAGGCTTTATATCCCGTTGATTGTTGACAATAAAACTCGGTGTGGTGCTGTGTGGTAACATTTTGCTAGACAAGACCGCGTGGCAGTAGTTGGCTCTATCTGTGATCTTCCATTTTACAATTCCGCACGAAGAAATGAGTCTGTTACGGAGCTGTCAGCAGGCGTTCCCTATTTTGGCTAGAGCATCTGATGTTTTCACAACAAGGAAAATTTTTCTGCCGTAAACTACGTGATTCAAGTCAATCCCATCTCTCCGTAAGCTTGTATATCACAAAGCCTAAAAGTCACAAAAAAATCACAACATCTTGCTGAGCACATAACTTACTTTGAATCAAGCCATCCTCGAATGTGACGCTCAGACTCTCTTCTTTACTGCTAACACTCTAACAGATGTTCAGTCTAGTGAACGTTGCCTCATATGGGTTCCTGTGTCGGACGAAAATGGGGGTATTTCCTCAAACTCATTAGTCGAAGAGCTTGAGGAATCAAATCACTATCCAGGTATAACTTACGGTACGGGATCATGTGGATTTTGGGGTTGTGATTGTGGTTTCCCTTCCTCTGGTTGTCTATTTTACCGCATTCATAAAAAATTGAAGATAGAGAAATGCACGAAGTCTTCACCTGTCAAACATGGTCGGAATTTATCAGCCTCACTCAGGAGTATCCAGCTTTCGAGGGAAAACTCACACCTTTCACTTGAACCTTCAACCGAATAAAAAAATTTTCGACGACGTAGATGCCCTTGATATTTTTTTCTTTCCTCCAATTCCACTACTAAACTCGCATTTCATTCGTAATTGCAATCTTATAGCAGATTCCATCTGGCACATCAATTTCGTACGCTTGTCTGGCACGGAACGGCTCAGATCTCTCTGATTGTTCGGTAAAAGATACTTGTACCTATTAACCAGACCAGTTGATCTCTACACTTTAGACACAATTTTACCCCTCACAGATTTTGTTATCGAAAAAAAATTGAAAAGAACAATCACCCACAGATCGCTAGCTTGTTAGCGTCTTTAGAAATGTCTGTTAATTTCTCTTCTTTCAATATAACAAAAATACGCATTCAAAACATTGTGGATAGATTTACATGCCAATATCAGTCTCTCGTATTGACGGCTATTACGGATGTTTCGAGGGGGCAGTAGCCACCTTTGCCAGTCAAGTACAGATGATACTTTAGCACAGGTAGATTGCAATGCTCACAGTTTCACAATTCCATGCGCTCGGAAAAGTAAACATACTCCAGTTCGATTCTTCTTTACGCACGCGAACATAAAGGAACCACGCACAGCGAGGACAAATGATGGAAGCTGATGAAGCACCGATAACACATAAAAGGATGACGAACATCGCGCATGAATCGTACCGTATACGGTAGAAAATACAAAATTCGCAATAACCGCAAACTCAAACTTGATGGCAGCACTTCAAACCATGTCGCAGACCTATCCGTGCATCTGGATCGTCTCCGAAAAAGGGCGGAAGAAAAGGAGAAATGGTTTTGTGTTCGCAAGATATCGAAAAAACAAACTTAGAAAGCAGAAAAGGGCCGCCGCTCAAAAAGCTCGGAGCGTCATAAAATGTACTGAGGACCAGCTATGTGGCTTACTTGATCCGGCCTAGCCGTCTTAATAGTTCAGACGTCGTCGGCGAAGTGGTACAGAACACCGCCAAAAAACGACCCTCTTCTGCCCTCTGTGTTCCAGTTAGGCTGGGTCGAAAGAGGCGCGTGCAAGTTTCGTTGCAGAACAAATCCACATAAATACCCAACCGACTGTGACATTTCCCTCTCTCACCGACCGTGATGCTTGAACTCTCGCTATGTTTCCAAGTAAAGGCAGAACCCAGCCACGAGGTCATGTGCCATAGAGTCCATTGTTTTCATTGTGTGGAGAGCCAGTGCACAAATGAGATGAATAATCATTTCTATCCTCTGTCCTTACGTCTTCTCCCAGTAAGCAGATCATTTTTTGACACCAATTCCCTTTGTTTGGCATCGAAGTACTTTGTCATTTCCTGCCCAATTTTTTTTGTTCGATTTGCCTTGCTCGATGTTTT